GGGTGCGCCGGGTTCGCCTTTGGGACCGGCCGCAGGCGGCGGGGTGGTGAGCCCGGCTGGCAGGTGAGGTTGGCCATGTGTCGTGAGCTGGTTGTCTTGAGCGGCTGTGTTGCGCTTTGGTTGTCCGGGTGTTTACAAACAGAGTTCAGTCAGTGTAGTGAAACTGTGTTAGCTGAACTGCAAAGCCGGGTCCTTCCTGTTACTGGCAGTGGGAGCTGGGGGGAAGCGTTAGTGGGCCGTGAACTACTGTGCTGTCAAACCTTGCTTGGAGGAGCAGGGAAGAGTTCGGGGTAAAATAATTTCTCTCCACACTACCGTAGCGGTTCTGTAATGCTACACGGGGTGGCAGGTTCCTTCCCTGAAACTCTGGCGTAGGCAACGTTGTGGGGATTAAGAGCTGCAATATATCTAGGCTTTGGTTTCTTTCTGTTCCCTTTTTAAAAAAAAAAAAAAAGTTTAGATGCCATCCGACACCTTGGGAGGTTTTCCCGTGCTAGTGTAGTGGTGTCACAAGGTGGCAGATTTTGAGGTCTGAGAACTTAGGTCCTCTCCAAACAGAAGTTAATCCTCTACCTGCAACTATGTTGAAACGCTGTATGTAGGAGAGATCCCATATGTCTTCACTGTACATAGGAACCATTCTGTATGTGTATAGCTACTCCTTCCGAGTACCGTGGTACAGGAAATCCAGAGAACAGCAATCCTGTCATTTAGACAACTTGATTCTTTAACGTATAATCTTGTACTCTAGGGAAACCAGACTGCTACCCTACTGCCATCAAATGTTTTGCAGCAGGTGCACAGTTTGCATGGTTCATATCCCCTGTGTGGGCCAACTTAACTGCCACTTGTGCTAGAAGTAGTGCAGAGCGGAGGCCTTTTCCTGATCTGAGACCTACAGCTCAATGTCGTGTTACAGAACAGCTGGTAAAGTCATTTACCCTGGGTCATGCCTAAAGTTAGAATGGGAGTGTTAAAGTTGAGGTGGGCTCGTCCACTCTTTGCCTGCACCATTTTCAAACTGAGTGGAGAGACTAGGGGTGGTAGGAGTCTCATGTCTGTGTGCTCTGCTTCACTATTTCCCTCTGATTTCAAAGGAGGAAGAGGAGGAAGACAGCAGCCCTGGAGTGTCCTTCTCGCTCTCTTCAGAAGAGTCGGAGATGGAACCCGAGGAAGAAAGGATCCGTTACAGCCAAAGACTGGTCAGTATTGGCCCTTACCCACCAAATTCTTAGTGTTGTTTCAGTTGAAGAAAGAAAAGGCTTTCCTAGCAACAGGTTTAAAAACCTAAAAAAAAAAAAAAAAAAAAAGCATTCAGGTGGGTAGTTACAGCCTGCCCAGAGGTATAAACTTAGCTGGCAGTAAGTCAGATGGCTTGGTGGCTCCAGTTTGTTTAGTAAAGTTTGCCTGAATGGAAGGCACCAGCCCAGCACATGGCAACTGAACTTGAAAAGTGGAGGGTTGAGGGCTGAGTCTGAATAAGAGGCATTGGGAAGCTGCTGGATAGAAATGTAAAATGAGTGTCAGTGTTGCTTCTTGCACAGCAGGTTTTCTCCATGTATTTGTAACAAGCAGAGAGGCTGAAATACACTGTGTGTGTGTGTGCGCGCGCGCACATTATGTTGGCCTGGACTTGATGTGAGCGTGCTGCGAAATCTGAGAAAACCAGCTTCAGCTTAAAGCTCAAATGTAACTTGTGCTTGTGCACATGTGCATGTGTCTTCTCCTGGTATTTTCTTTTGGAGGGAGCTGTTCCAAAAGTAGGGTCCTAATGAGGCTCTGTCAGGAACTTGGGCTTGTTTGATGTTTGTGCTAATGTTCAGGGGTTGCTCAAAGCTGCCGGTCTGGAAGTTGGGCCACAACTGTGAAAAGTTTGGGAGCAGCTGCTCTGAGTGTCTGAGATGATATTCATGGTAATTATGAGCAGGACAGTGTTCCCACTGGGGAAGCAGTAGAAGCTGGTATGTTTTCCTCAGGTCAATTCCTCTTTGTTTTGAGGAAGTTGTAAACTGTCTGAGAAGGCTGGGTGTCAGCATTGTGATAGTTGAGGTTGTGATGGGGTTCATCTCTAAGTCACTGTGGTAAATGTACCCTCACCTGCAAGCTGCTGTCAGTAATAGTTAAATCCTTATCCTTTAATGCTCTGAAATCATTTGGTGTGAGGCAGCATGATACTCTTTGCATTAAGCTTTGCCCTAGAGAGTGAACAGTTCCTATTGCTCTTCTGTTGCTGCTCTGTACCTTGCCATAGAAAAGGTCCTGAGGAGTTGTAGCCAGCGCTCACCTTGTAGGTGGCCTAGGGATAGAAATCCTCTAGCGAGAGTAGAAGTGGTTATTAAGCAGTAGTTCCTGTGGAGGAGAGATATTGTGTAGCCTGTGGTTGGTCCACAGCCCCGATTTACTGAAGGTTGTGCTCCTTTTTCTGGTGTTTCTCCATATCTGTTGCATATTTACATTTCACAGGCAGGATTGTCACACTGGATGATAGTCAGGCTTCTTAGTCTGCTTCAGGAAACCAAAGTGACTCTGATTTGGAATGGTTTTTAATCTCTTCTTTTTTGAGAGATTTCTTTAAACAAAAAAAAAGTTCAGTATGTCTGGACCCTTCAAGA